TATAAACTCATGAATAAAAAATACAAAATATAAATTCATTAGGAGAAAAAAATGAATCATATAATCGGTTAAAAAATAGTAGTTATAAATTAATAAATACGAATCACGAATCAGGTAAACTTAAAACCAATAATAATTTATGCAATCATTTAATATTATGAGCCATAATATTAAAAGCATAAAATATTCATGTAAGTAATACAAATCGTATAAAAACAAATTGTGAATCATAAATTTAGCAAAAACTTATTACGAAAGTAAAAATACATAAATTCACAAAAATAAATCACGGAATGAAATTTTTCAGTTCTGACCCTGAGGTATAAAGTAATTAAAATTTATAGTCGCTAAAATAATAATTTAATGAATAATAAATTCTTCAAAACTATTATAGACTACGCATATAGTGAAACACACATGAAATGCATAAATATGTATGAAAAAATTACACAATTCATCACAAATTATTATCATGAATTCATCCAAACAAATAAGTGAATTATAAAATCTAGAATAAAAATAGGAATTATAAATTCATCAAAGAAAATCACGTAAAATATTATAAAAAATTACGAGGCAAAAGTCATGCAGGCATTTACGAACCATGTTTTCAGTAGAACAAAACACACAGTAAATGCATAAAATGTTTATGTAAAAGCTACGAAACATAAATTCATCAAGAGAAATTACAAACTCAAAAACTAATAAAAATATTTCACAACTAGAAAAATTATATTTCATTTACCATGCACTTTAATCGTTATTTTCTTATGAAGTGCATTTCCTATTCCATTTTTTGCTTCACAAATATATTCTCCAGCATTTTGATATTTTAAATTATTTATAATTAAGGATCCATTTCTCAGATTTTCAACAGACTCAGCAAGATTTTCATTACGGCCGTCTAAAATAGCAAATATTCAAATTAGAGTATATTTTTCGAAAAAGATGTCTTTCAAAAAGTGATTTAAAAGCAATCTTTTAACATCAATGAATAAATAAAGCAGAATTTCAAAAATCAAAAATGAAGCATTTAAAATCTTTTTTCATATATATACATAACATATTTCACATTGATCTCTTAAGCTCTTCAATTAAAGATTATACAAATTACTTAATATTTGAAATTAATTGTCTTTAGAAATTTCATTGTATATAACATTAAAAAGAGACGATATTTTTTTCAAATTCATAATTATTTTTAAGTAAAGTTGTGATTTCCATACCTACTTGTTTTGTCCAAGTTATTTCTGGCTTAGGGGAACCATCTGCTAAGCACGTGACCTCTAGTTTTTGACCTTCCACACCAACAACATTTTCTGGTTCTTTAATCCATACAGGAGATTCTAATGAAAGCAAAATTCACAATTTAAAAATAGATATTTTATCCATTATTAATAATGTCTTTCATTTTCAAAGTTCAGAAGCATTTTTATGATTTAATTACTAATACAGAAATAAATAAAATTTAACATATGTGAAAACTGCCTCTTGATTAATATTTTTTTATCTTATAATGAAAGGTAGGAATTATATTAAAATACGTCCAAAGCTACGCTTATAATGTGTAATAATAATGAAATAATTTATATTTTGATTATTAAGACAAAGATGAGTTTCACAAAATATACGAAAAAATTTGGTAACTTTTCCCGTTCTAAAAAACTTTTGATTGAACTTTTTGCCTCAGATTCAAAGGCAGGAAATGTATTTATTCAATTTTGACACATTAAAATAAGTTAAAAGCTATAGAAATAAATAAAGTAGAGTAAATCTGAAGAAAATTATGTTTTAATTACTATTATAAAAGAGAATATAGTTTAATTTTCCTATAACAGTTATTCCGATTTATTTATTCAACTATGAACTATGAAAATAAAAGTATGGAAAAATTAAGCGCATTATAAGTCTTTTCTATATTCAAAACATTGCAAGAGAATTTAAAAAAAAAGAAAAAAACAGAGCATCCTCTATTAAATATGAACACCTATTTGTTTTAAAAATTAAAAAAAGCAATATAAATTATTATCTATAGTTTTGAAAGTCTTTAAATTTGTTCATTCTATAAATTGTACGTTTCAGTAATTAATATTTTAAAATGTATGTACAAATAATAAAAGTATAATCTAATAATAATCCTTGTATTCTCTTAATGTTTTTATGAAAAAGCAGAATTAAAATATGTTTTGAAGCATAAAGTAAGTCATTAAATAATTTAACAAAAATAAATAAACAAAATATAATTAAATATANAAATGAATTTAAGTATAAAAATGTTCAGTGTCCACTTAATGCAACTGATAAAGTAGAGAAATTTCAAAATATTGCATGTTGTTAATTACAAGCATAAAAATTTTACTATGCATTTTAGAGTAATACAGTTTGTTGGATGTAGGATAAGTTGACTATTTTGTGCAATTAATAACAATTAAAGTGCATAATAATTAATACCTTTTAGAGTGAACAGTGCATAATGTGTGTGCATTCCCATTTCATTTCTAGCAATGCAACTATAGTTTCCTACGTTTTGTTTCGTCGCTGGGGATATCGTCAAAACAGAATATTCTGATTGAATATCTACAGATGCGTTTGGTATTTTTGAAATATCTTCTCCATCTTTCAACCACTGAAATGTGATAGGCTTGGATCCCTGTAATATTCCACAAGCAGCGGTCACCCTTTGACCATGAGAAGCAGTTTCAGGAAACGTAAAAGGTTGGATGATAGGAGCTATGAAATAAAATAAGCATTTATTTTAGGAAACATACTAGAAAAAATAATGTCAAATTAACAATAATTTTTATTCACTAAAAATTTTTTCAAATTGTTAATAATCTGAGCATATTAATTTGTTTACTTAGTTTTATTGAAGTTTATCAAATGCATGGGTTGTTTACCTATTATTCTGATGCTAAAACAACTTCAAATAACATTTTCTCAAAAACTACTTAAGAAATATGTTATTTTATTTTAAGTTCTAACTTCTAACTGCTCTGAAAGCAAGTATATAAAATTTTCTGCGATTTCCACGCTTAATGCATGCTTTTAAAATTCTTGCTAAAAATCAAAACGAAATGTATAAACACTGAAATTCAAGTGAAGAAGTGCCAAAACACTATTGAAATCGGACGAATCCTTACTGAAAAATGAGGAGATATCAAAACCTATTTGATCGCCGGTATTAAACAGTGAAGAGTTGAAATGTTAGCTCACACTCACTTGATTATTTTGATATTTCCAGTTCTGCCTTCCTCATGCATGTTTTTATTTCTCTTGAATACTAGTTTGAGTTGCATTTGATAATTCATATTAAAAATTGTTATTATACACATTTTATCAACTGCTTAGCTAATACCTCGTTAAAATTAATAATTTAAAAAACTTATTGCATAAAAGATTAATTTTGTAAATCTAAATTAGATATAATTACAAAATCTATTGAAAAATTGTTTATTTTAAACATTCCTTGAGCGGTTCTAAACTTTTTCGACAGTGTTAAACTTGACAACTACTAAAAAGTCAATTTCATTAAGATAGGAGAAAATTTCTAGTAAGAAAACAATATCTTACACTAATATTTAGCTAAGGTCAACATATCAAAAATGAATTAAAAATCAAAATAAAAACGGATATACTCTTATTACGCCATGATTGGAAATTTAAATTTTTACCCAGATTTAAACAAATGAACTTAGTTTTTGTTCATTCAATCTTAAAGGGATCTAGGAGTGTTTTAATTATATTATACGAAGCATAAAAATCAAGATATACAATAAAAATAAAATATTTGTTGATGAGTAAATGTAAAAGTTATTGATTTTAAAACATGGAATAATTTCTATTGTTTACATTTCTAAACATTAAGTTTTCCTGCATAATAATATATGCGCTTCCTTAAAACTTCATAAACATTATATTAATGCTTTAAAAAATCATATGAATGTAAAATTTTTACACATTTAAATAAATACCCAACAAAGTCAGACTCACCTTTTAAAATTGAAGAGCCATGAACAGAACTGAGAAACATCAAAAGAAAGATCATCGTTAACCAAATTACAGCAGGTACAACTGTTCCAGCGATAACTATTGATGTCTATTTCAATCAAAAACATCTGACATCCCGAGCAAAAAAGGCAACGAAACTCAACATTTTACTAAAGCTGAAAACATTAGATAAATGGCGATTTCTTTAAGCTTGGAATACATTTAAGACCATATACAAGTAGCGCCACATGGAGGAACTTCAGGAAACTAAATGCACAATATGGTAAACGGAATTTATGTATAAAACTAGCATAGTAGCAATGAAGTAAATTTAATGTAGACACAACTTTATTAGAGAGGAAAAAATTCCATATTAATAAGTAGAAGACTTAAGTGTATTATATTTTCGAACAAACAATAATATGAAATTTAAAATATGAGTTTTACGAATCAGACGTTAAATAAAAGGTTTTCCTGCATATACAGTTCTTAAAATATACATGAAACAGATAACATACAAACAAATCCATTTTAAAAAAATAAGTGATACGAAAAATCACTAAAAGTATACCGAACATTATTTTATGAAAAAATTGTTTTTAAATTGTAATGCTCTATAAATAGCAAACAACAATATTTCTGAAAATGAAAAATAAATTAACAGCACGTAAGCAGAAGTTTGAAATGTAAGAAGACAATAAACATATTCTATTATTTTTCTATTTGTTTCTCTCTTGCCATTTAATATTAGAATATCTTTTAATTCTGGATCCACACCATTTCCTTGCAATACAGGTTTCAGCGACTCGTGTTTTTACATCTGATATGTTGTTTTACATTTTGAGAGATCCATTAGATTAGTAAATTTGTTTAATAGTTTAACATAGATCTTACTAGCACACTAACGATACATTATAATAAAAATGCTTTTCATAAAAACAGTGAGTTGAAACTATAACACTTAACTGATACATACGAAAATGTGTGGTTTATTTTATTTATTACTAACGTACCACGAACAGTGAGAGAAATACTTTTGGTAAGTGGGATTCCAAACCCATTTTCAGCTTCACATGTATAAGATCCTTCCATAGAATAAGTCACTTTACCAATTACTAATCCACCTGTCGATGAAACATAAACTGCACTCGAAGAATCTGATGTTATTTTAGTTCCTTTCACATCTAAAAGAAAAGAATAAAAACGTAACACAAAATAAAACAAAAAATTTATTAAATGCAGTTTTCCATGACAGCAGAATTAGCTTATAACAAGCACGAAGGAACCATGGTATTTGCTTAAAAGCGAGTTCTAAAAATTTCCATTAAGGTTCATACAAACCTACTAAATTATGTAGTACTTTATTTCTATACAGTACAAATCAATTAATTTGCTTTGCTTTGAACAGTCTTGGTTGCTATGATAGTGTTCTTCGGATAAGAATCACGACTCCCGCTTATGAAAAATATTCATGCGTTCGCTATATTTACCAATTATTAATGACTTTTATTTGTCTTCGATATGTTAATTGAAATTTTCCAAAAAGAGATTTGCCGAGTTACACGCAGAATATTTAGTAGTCCGAAAAATATTTCTAACATAACCTGGTCGTTAAAAACGGGCTATGCCTAATATTGGACTACGAAAGTCTTTATGATTTGTCGCTTAATTCGAGTTTCGTTTGATCCAACCAACCTTATACATTTCTAAATGCTAATAGGAGTCAAGCAATGACAGACATTTGCTGATAACTCCAGAAAATATAAATATTAGTGAAGAGACGTGGTGGCTCAGGGGATAGAACGTTCGCCTTCGAATGAGGTGAACCGGGTTCGAATTCCAGTGCTTGCTGGTCGATACGTAATCCGTATTCGGCTAGCACTGACCGCAGTGGTGAGGTAAAGTATTCTCAGTGGTAGACTGATCATGAGTTAAAATCTGCTTACCATTGCGGTAACCGTGAGATGTTTTCGTAGTTTTCCTCTCCATGTAACACAAATGCGGGTTAGTTCCATCAAAACGTCCTCCACGAAGGCACAATTCTCCCAATATTTGATCCAGGAACTCCCTTGTCTTCTGTGTTGGGCTCAAAATGAAAAGGCTTTGTAGTTGAAAATTAGTTGCCGTAAACTCGAATATATTGTCGGCTGTTCAACGATGGTTATAAAAAATAAAATACTAGTGAAGGGCTTTGTATACATCAATGTGGGTAACGGTAAAGATTAGCACGGGATGTGGAAGAAAGTTCAATGACACAGGAAAGCTTTATGTGTTCGTTCATTTGATTTCTCATCAAGTCTATTTTTAATTAACGAGTTCTTTTTAAGTTTCTAGCTAATCCTTAAAAAGAAGGAAAAATTTAAAACTAAAAAAATGGTTTTGAAACTCGTAATAATTTCAGGTAAGAAGACAAATGAATTTCTTTATAAGCAAATCTCAAATATTTTAATGCGGAATAATAAGAAAAAAAATAGACCAATAAAGAATTTTAAAACTAATAAAGTACCTGTTTTCCATTTAACATGTGGACTTGGAACTCCTGATGCTGCACATTCTAATGAAATGCTTTCTCCTTCCTTCACAACAGTGTCTGTTGGTTCTTTTAACCATGTCGGGGGAGCTACAATTATTTAAAAATTTTTTTTAACATATTTTGAAATTGTTTTTATTCAATATGCAAAAGTTGTTCTGTTATCACTGTTCTTAATAAATATTTAATGTGTCAAGATTATATCTAAATTATTTAAGAGATCATAAAACATAAACATCATCGAAATCTAATGACTTGCAAACAAGGAAGAAGGATGAAAAATACTAAACCAGGAGTTATTTTCGGTGAAAATAAGGGGTAACTGAAAGGCGATTATTAGAAGAATCTCGAACAATCAAACTGGTTTTTGAAAATTTTCATTTGCTTTTATCAGAAGTGAATAATTTACATTTATGTTTCTTACGCTTCAATCTAGTTTGCAGTGTTAATACCTTTACATATTTTAATTCAGTTTTGACAAAAATTTGTTAACTATAAAGGGCTTACATGCAGTTATTTATTAGGCAATATCATGCACGCAATTATTAAATTCGAAAATAAAATAATATAGGTATTTTCGAGAGATTAAAAAAAGTTGGTCGCCTTATATGTTGATAACTCGAGAACGGGTCATTTTGTAAAATTATTTTCTAGCCTTTAACTATTAAGAACAAGGTAACTATTTATCAATGTATTTTAGAGCACATTATCTCCCATCTATTAACATAACCTCCTATTATCCGTTTCAATACAACATATTACATAAAGTTTTATAAAACAAGAACTAATATAGTTTCTCTCTCAAAAAAGTAGGTATTTAGTGACAATTAACATTACATCAAATAAAGTACATTATTAATAAAATGTGAGTCTAATGAATGTAATATAAACTGGTAGAGATTATGTATTTTTATTAAAGTTTGCAAAAGTGTTGAAAAGGTTGCCATATTAGTAGTTAACTGAACATTTTTTTTAACAAGTACATAAATATGTAACCTTAAAATAAGGAATAAAAAAGATAATTACTTACAAGTGACAACGAGAGATGCGGTATGCTGGTCTTTGCCGAAAGAATTTGTTACAATGCAAGTGTAATTCCCCGAACTTCCAGAATCGACAGATTTTATAAACAAAACAGAAGAATCTTCAAATGACTGTACATTAACAGTGGGTGATACAGGCAGTGGTTGACCATCTTTTATCCACTTGAATTCAATTGGTCTGTCACCTGAGCGAACAGAACAAATTGTATTTGTTCTTTCTCCCTCTTTCAAAACAGGGGGAAAGTAAAATGCGATGATAACTGGTGGATCTAAGAAAAAAAGTATAAATGTTTAATGCAATAAATGCATGTAAAAACTGTATTCTTATTATAAGAAATTGTATTCATATAAAAATTGTATTAAAAATTACCAAACAAAAAATGAAGTTAAACAATTTTTTTAAAAAGAAATTCCACATATTTAATGTATACCTTACTTTAAAAATACTTAACATTTCAAAAGTTATAGTTTATTACCATAAAAAGTGTTAAAAGTATTAAAAAATATATTTAAATGTAAAAGCAAAGAAAATAAATTATCATTATGAACTGATTATTAAATTGATCATTATGAACTGATGAAATTTTTTTTAATCTTCTAATTATTTTACTTATAAATGGCTCTTCTTCAAATATTACCAAACCCTCTTTATATCGTAATTTCTCTATGTTGTCACTGAAATAATTAAATGATGTATGATTGTAAATTTTGTTTTGCATAACACACTTTTAATGAAGTTTCATTCATTAATTTTTCTAAAATTAATTCGTATGAAAATTTAAAATTTCATTTAAAGTTTAGACAGAAATAACTGCAGCAGAAATCCTTATAATTAATACTGAGAAGTTAATTAAGTTGTGTCTGCAGAAAAACAACACGAACTTCAGTTGCACAATTTAGAAATAAATTAATTAATAGAGTGCAATATTTTAATCAGGAAAAAAAATTCAATCATTATTTTTACATGCATCTTTTATAGAATAGTTCAATGCTATCACAATATATTTCTGTCTCATGCAACTTGAAACCATTGTAAGCATTTGCGATATATATATAAAAAGGAATGAAAGAGGATAGGATAATGCCTTTTAAAAAGTATATAATAAATTAATAAGATGTTAAAATTACTATGAGTTTTTTGTATTTTGGTTCATAAAGGGATTTTATAAATTGCAAACCGTCCATAACGCAACAGCAAAATCATTGTAATTAAATAAAGTGAATTTGTTTGATTAAATAATTTCATTCACATTTGAAAAATAAATTTAATATAATGAATATTCAATTTGAAATTAAGTAAGAAAAATAATTATGCCTATTTCACTCTTAAAATAATTTTTTTGAAGAAAATTATAGAGAAAATCCAACTTTCTCAGTAGGTGCAGTTATAAGTTGATCAAAATACTTTTAATTTTTTTTGTTCCATCAATTTCAATTCTCTCTATTTTCACTCAAATATTTAAATTTCCATATACTTAAGAGTAAATTCAGATATTTTTACAGTCCTACAGCCTATATAAACCGATTACATATATTTTGAAAAGTAAGAAATATAAATAATCATTATTTAACCATAGAGTTTATTATTTTTTTTCTTGATTTCCATTAAAAATGTAACCTGAATCAACGTGAACATTTTTAAATATTATTATGATATGCGATGGATGAATGGGATATGATTACATTTTAAAGTGTACTACTTTTCTTCACAATGACATGAAATATCAGAGGAAATGTTATTTCACACATAAAAGGAATCTATTTAAATTATTTAATTGTTCACATTTCAGTTGCTTAACAAGAAATACAGAGTATCGATTATCTTAGAATAAAATAACACAATTGAATGTTATATAAAAGATAATAATTAAAAAATACTCACCCCCACAAAGAACGTTTTTCAGTAAAGTGGCAAAGATTATTTTCAGCAGCAGAATAAACTGAACTGTTCTTTCCATTTTCTTAAAAGTGCATAATGATTAAAAAAATATCTTGAAATATAAATGAACAGTAAAATTTGAAATGATTCAAAAAACTTTTTCAAGATGAGAACATTGAGAGTGTTTACGATATGGCGTTAGTAGTTATAAATGATACAAATGAAAGCTTCACTATACAGCCCGACAGCGCCACATATCGGTAAAAATTAAAAGCATAAGCGCATATTTATAAGAAAAAAGCATCTGAAAGAAAAAAAGCAAATGACTTTGAAAACTTGGAAATCACTTTCATTTTCAAAATATTGTGTTTTGGAACTAGAATGCGTTAGAACTTTGAGTATAGTTCAAGTGGTTTTGAAAAAAAATTTGAATCGATGCAAAAATGTGTATATTACACCATATGTATATAGTAATATGCATTATAACATATTACATACTATATAATTTATAATATCGTTTGAGTAACATGGGCAATATAGGTATTCCAGGTTTTTTAACGAAACGATATTTTGTATAACACATTGTATAATTGTAAAACCCAAAGAATTTAATTTTGTAAAAATCAAATGTAAGGTCTTAAAACAAAAAGTTTCAAATCAATTTCTCTCGTAATTATTACAAGCGTAACTATTATGATATTACGCAATTATTATGACATTACGTAATCATGATACTACGTAATATTACGTATTATGTAATTATTATGATTTTTTTGTTTCAGTTGTTAAGAAAAAACATACTTGTTCTGTGGAAAAAATTCTATGAAATACTCATCGTAGAAAACAATTTTGCTCTAAGTAAGGAATATAATTTCAAATAAATTTAAGGTAAACAAATTATTCATTTCAATTTACAATAAAAAGCAACATTTAATTGAATAAACTGATTCAGTAATAAACATTTCATATAAAATAAAGCATACAGATAACACATCAAACTCTTAACACGTAAATCATAAATCGCAAGTCATAATATTTCTACCATGATTTATAAATCATAAAATACTCTAATCATCAGACGAGCATTTCATATCAGAGATGATGACGTGAATATAGTAATTTTAAAAACGAATAAAGGCGGAATTTCCCAGAACTTTGTTTAGAAAGTGCTACATAAATTTTTATTGCAAGTTATTCCCAAAAAAGCACATAACTAGATATACAAAAATGTAACAACTATCTAATTTTATACAACTATGTAAAAAATTAGTAAAACAAAAATCAAAGAGTTACATTTGAATGACAAAACTGTGCATCCAATTCCATTCGTTCAATACCCTGCAATAGTGCGCGAAATAAATTTTAGCAGATGTGTCCGGGTGATTTTGATGTGTATTAAAAACGATGAGCAGAACAATTTGCATCAAATTTTTACAGCGATTTTATTTAAAACAACCTTTAGCCGTTAAACCTAGTCGTTGTCAGTTGCAGACAGTTTGATCAGTACAAAAGCAACACAAAAGTAACAAGAAATATGGAATTCTAAATCTGTAAAATTTAATACAAGAAAATTTTCTTTTTTCTTTAAAAAAAAAAAAAAAAAAAAGAAGTTAAAAGTGCGTTGTATCTCCAAAGGTTTCAGTTATTACAATTATTTACCGATAGTTCCTTCTAGTTCTGAAAATAAAATTATTTCACATAAGTGAGTTTTTAAACATAGTTGTGATTGCAATTTTTTAAGAACCTATATATAAATTTCATCAATACTTTAACATAGAGCTTACTAGCACACTTAAGATACATTATAATAAACATGCTTCTCGTGAAAACAGTTTGTTGAAAACATAACGCTTAATTGATACATACGGAAATCCAGAAAATAAGCGTTTTATTTTATTTATTACTAACGTACCACGAACAGTGAGAGAAATACTTTTGGTAAGTGGCAGCCCAAATCCATTTTCAGCTTCACATGTATAAGATCCTTCCATAGAATAAATCACTTTACCAATTACTAATGCACCTGTCGTTGAAACATAAACTGCACTCGAAGAATCTGATGTTATTTTAGTTCCTTTCACATCTGAAAAGGAAGAGGAGAGAATGTAAACATGACACAAAATAAGACAAAAGTATATTAAATGCAGTTTCATACGACAGTCTAATAAGCTTATCACAAGCGCGAAGGGAACCTGATATATTTGTTTAAAAAACGAGTTCTAAAAAAATCATTAAAATTCATACAAACTTACTAAATTATGTAGTACTTTATTTTTATACAGTACAAATTAAATACATTGATTTGCTTTGAAAAGTCTTGGTTTCTCTTTTTTTGATATTGTTCTTCAGATAAGACTCTTGACCCCATCTTATGAAAAATATTCACGTGTTCGTTTCATTTACCACTCATCAATGCCTTTAATTTGTCTTCAGAATGTTAAGCGAAATCTTCCAAAAAGAGATTTGCAGAGTTATGTGCAGAAATTTTAGTAATCGCAAAAATATTGCTTTCCAAAATTGCTCGTTAAAAGAGGTCTTGCTTAATCTATGCTTAATATTGGACTAACAAAGTCTTTCCGCTTTGCTCGTTAAATTCGGGTTCTCGTTCGATCCAACGAGCTTTAAACATTCCTAACTGTCAATGGGAAGCAACAAGTGACTTCTGTTCGAATAATTTCAGAAAATATAAAAAGTGACGAGTTTTGTGTCCTTAAATGCGGGTAACGGTAAAGGGATGTGGAAGAGAATTCAATAACACAGGGAATCTTTATGCGCTCGTTTATTTCATTATTTCTCATCAAGCCTGTTTTTAATTTACGAGTTCATTTTAAGTGTCTTGCCGATTCTTGAAAAGTAGGGAAAATTTAAAACCTAAAAAAAAATGGTTTTGAAAATCGTATTCATTTTAGGTTAAAAGATGAAAGAATTTAAAAAAAAAATAAATCTCAAATATTTTAACACAGAATTATAAGAAAAAAAAATGGCCCATTAAAAGATTAAAGCAATTTATTTAAAAACTAATGAAGTACCTGTTTTCCATTTAACATGTGGAGTTGGAACTCCTGATGCTGCACATTCTAATGAAACGCTTTCTCCTTCCTTCACAACAGTATCTGTTGGTTCTTTTAACCATGTCGGAGGAGCTATAATTATTTAAAAACTTTTTTTAATGTTTTTTGCTGCCAAACATATCTTATTATAAGGAAGCACATAGATATACAATCTTACAATTAAAAATAAAAAAATCATTACTTACAAGTGACAACAAGAGTTGCAGTATACTGGTCTTTACCAAAAGAATTTGTTACAATGCAAGTGTAATTTCCCGAACTCCCAGAATCGACAGATTTGATGGACAAAACAGAAGAATCTTCAGATGACTGTATATTAACAGTGGATGATACAGACAGTGGTTGACCATCTTTCTTCCACTTGAATTCGATTGGTTTGTCACCAGAGCGAAAAGAACAAATTGTATTGGCTCTTTCTCCTTCTTTTAAAACAGGTGGAAAGTAAAATGGGGCGATAACTGGTGGATCTAAGAAAAATTTTATAAATGTTTAACGCAGAAAAATGCATGTAAAAATTTTATTCATGTTAAAAAATTGTATTAATATAAAAATTGTATTCATATAAAAACTATTAATATAAAAATTGTATTAATGTAAAAACTATTAATATAAAAATTGTATTAATACCCACCAAATTAAAAAAAAGAAGACAATTTTTTTAAGAGAAATTCCACATATTTAATGTATATTTTACTTCATAAATAATTAACATTTCAAAAGTTATAGTTTATTACCATAAAAAGTGTTATAAGTATTAAAAAATACATTAAAATGTAAAAGCAAAGAAAATAAATTATCATTATGAACTGATTATTAAATTGATCACTATGAACTGATGGAGTTTTTTTAATCTTCTATTTATTTTACTTATAAATAGTTCTTCAAATGTTACCAAACCCTCTTTATATCTTAATTTCTCTATGTGGTCACGGAAATAATTAAATGATGTATGATTTTAAATTTTGATTTGCATAACAAATTTTTATAGAGTTTTATTTATTATTTTTTAAATTAATTTTGATTGAAATTTGAAATTTGGTTTATAAATTAGACTAAAATAATTGGAGCAGAAATCTTCATAATTAATACTGAGAAGTTAATTAAGTTGTCTCTGCAGAAAAACAACACGAACTTCAGTTGCACAATTTAGAAATAAATTAATTAATAGAGTGCAATATTTTAATCAGGAAAAAAATTTCAATCATTATTTTTACATGCATCTTTTATAGAATAGTCCAATGCTATCACAATATATTTCTGTCTCATGCCATTTGAAACCATTGTAAGCATTTGCGTTATATATATGAAACGGAATGAGAGACGATTGGTTTTAAGCGTACTTTTTCTACAGAAAATATACAATATTAATACCTTTTAAAAAAAGTAACAAATTGATAAGATGTTAAAATTAATATGTGATTTTTTATTTTTGGTTTGTATAGGGATTTAATAAATAGCAAACTGTCCATCGTTACATAGCAAAATTATTATGATTAAATAAAATAAATTTGTTTGATTCAATAATTTCATTCACATTAGAAAAATCAATTTTATATATTGAATATTCCCTTTGCCATAAAGTTAACAAAAAAGAATTATGTACATTTCATTTGTAAAACAATTTTTTTAAGACAATTATTATGAAAACCCAACTGTCTCAATAGGTGTAGTTATAAGTTGATCAAAATACTTTTAATTTTTTTTGTTCCATCAATTTTAATTCCTTCTATTTTCACGCAAATATTTATATTTCAAAATATTTAAGAGTCAATTCAAATATTTTTACAGTCCTTCAGATTATTTAAGCTGAATACTTAATTTACTAATCCTTATTTGCCCATACGGAAAAGTAAAAAATGTAACTAATCATTATTTGCCCATACAGATTTCTTTTTACTTCCAATGAGATTTTAGCCTGAATTATAATGAACATTTATGAATAAATATATGAGGTGTAGGAATCAGATGTGATTACATTTTAAAGTTACTGCTTTTCTCCAATATAACA